CACCCAGGCGCCCCAGAAAAAATCCTTTAAAAAATATGCCAGAGCTTGCTACTAAACAAGGCCTGTCCTCAAGAGAAATTATTTTACCAGAGCCTAAACTATTGTTGTTGTTGTTGTTGTTGTTGTTGCTGCTGTTTCAGAACCTAACCAACCCAGAGGGAAGGAAATACCCAACTTTAGCCCACTCTCGCTATCCCTTCCCCTCTAAGGGAGAAAGGGGCTGAGAAGCACTTGCGAAGTTCACAGTCCAGGGGCACAGGCTCACTAAAAGACCGAGACCCAACCTAGGATGATAGAATGCCTTCCCCTCAAAGCCCACATCTTCCCACCATGTAGCTAGTGGCCTATTTAGAGAATTTTCTTTTACCCAGTACATCATGTCCACCTATCAAGAAAACTTCAAGGCTTAGTAAAAAGCAAAAACAAAAAACAAAACAAAATAAAAACAAACAAACCCACACAGTTTCAAGAAACACAGCAAGCATCAGAACCAGACTGAGATATAGTAGGGATATTCGAATGATCAGGCTGGGAATCTAAAACCATTATGTGATGTCCAAAGACAGGAGGTAGACTTCCTAGCTCAGGAGGAGCGAGAGAGAATTCACCCTTCCTCTACCTTTATTATTATTGTTTTTATCCTGTGAATCCTGGCTATTGGAGAAACAGCACCATATATTGGACGCTGATTCAGAGTATACACAGCCTTTGGGAGAACTCAAGTCTTGCAAAGTATTGCCCCCTAGCTGGCACTGTAACTGTCTTCAAAAGACTATACCACCATTCTATCAAGCTGGCTGCTTCAGTATGGTGGGGAACATGGTAAGACCAGTGAATTTTTTGAGCATGGGTCCATTACAGCCCTTCTTTTGCTGTGAAGTGAGTTCCTTGATCCAAAGCAATGTTGTGTGGAATACCATGATGATGGATGAGGCATTCTAAGTTTATGGATGGTAGTTTTGGTAAAATCATTGCATGCAGGGAAGGCAAATTTATATCCAGAGTAGAAATATATTCCAGTTAAGGACAAAATGCTGCCCTTTCCATGAAGAAAATGGTTCGGGGTAATCAACTTGCTACCAGGAAGCTGGCTAATCACCGTACATAATGGTGCCATATTAGAGGCTCAGTGCTGCTATCGCTGAAGATTGGGCACTCAGCCATGGCTTTGGCAAGTAAACGTCCTTATTCTTGGGCTCATTCCTGGTTAATCAAGGTTTTCCAGAGAAATATAACCAACAGGAGTGAGGGGACCCCTGGTATAATATGTCTCAGAATCCAAAGGCCCAAGAACCAGGAGTTCCAATGTTTGAGGGCAGAAGATGGATTTCCAGCCCAAGAAAAGAGTGAGAGAAAATTCATCCTTTCTTTGCATTTTGTGTGTGTGTGTGTGTGTGTGTGTGTGCGCGTGTGTGTATGTGAACTTGGTGAGGACAGATCTTCTTTGCTCAGTATACTGATTCAGTTGTATATCTCTTCCAGAAACACCTTCACAGAGACACCCAGAAATTGTTTCATCAGTTATCGGGACATCCCTTAGCCCAGTCTAGTTGACACTGAAAATTAACCATCCCAAATGCCATATGTGGGCAAGTTATATGAAAATCTCTGTACTTTCCACTCAGTTTTTCTGAGAATGTAAAGCTGCCTTAAAGAATAAAGTCTATTTTAAAGAAATCAAACACCTAAGCAAAGACATTAGCATTCAGACACCATAGAGGAGACAGATTCTGCCATTTGAGTCTAGGCAATTCACTAAAACAAAACAAGCAGGGGCACTTGGGTGACTCAGTCGGTTAAGTATCTTGACTCTTGATCTCAGCTTAGGTCTTGATCTTAGGGTTGTGAGTTCAAGCCCCACATTGGGCTCCATGCTGGGTGTGGAGCCTACTTTAAAAAAAGAAAAAGAATAAAACAAAATAAAAACCCACAAAACTATATCAGTCTGTTGTTGCTACTATATAATATCTAAAATGTACAGTTTTGGGGTGCCTGGGTGGCTCAGTCGAACATCCAACTTTGGCTCAGGTCATGACCTACCTCATGGTTTGTAAATTTGAGTCCCGTGTCAGGCTCTGTGCTGTCAGCTCAGAGCCTGGAGTCTGCTTCAGATTCTGTGTCTCCCTCTTTCTTCTCCCTTGACTCAATCTCTCTCTCTCTCTCAAAAATAAACATTAAAAATTTTTAAATAAATAAAATAAAATGTGCAGTTTTGGGGGTGACTCAACTCAGTCAGTTGCGTGTCCAACCTTGGCTCAGGTCATGATCTAGCACTTCATGGGTTTGAGCCCCATGTTGGGCTCTGTGCTGACAGCTTGGAGCGTGGAGCCTCCTTCAGATTCTATGTCTCCCTCCCTCTCTGCTCCTGCCCCATTCACACTCTGTCTCTCTCTCTCTCTCAAAAATAAATTAATAAAAACATAAAAAAGTAAAATGTACAGTTTTCAACAAAAGAAACATACAAAGAAACAACCCATAGCTTATACTCAGAAAAAGAGACGTCAATAGAAATTGACTCTAAGTGGGTTAGATATTGGGTTTAGAAGACTTCAAAGCAGCTATCATAAATATGTTCAAAGAATTAAAGGAAACTGTTAAAAGAATTAAAATACAATGAAAATTACCTAGCAAATAGGAACTATTAATAGAGAAATCTAAAGTATTTAAGAGTTCGCTTTTCTCCTGCCATCTTGGAACCTATGGAGGCCTGCTGGAAACAGGACTCCTAAAATGACAAATATGTCTGGAAGGCTGTGGTCCAAAGCCATTTTTGCTGGCTATAAGTGGAGTTTCTGGAACCAGAGGGAGCATACAGCTCTTCCTAAAATTGAAGGTGTTTCTGCTTGAGATGAAACTGAATTCTATCTAGGCAAGAGATGTGCTTATGTGTACAGAGCAAAGAACAACACAGTGACCCCTCGTGGCAAACTGAACAAAACCAGAGTGATCTGGGGGAAAAGTAACTTGTTTTCATGGAAACAGTGGCATGGTCCAAGCCAAATTCTGAATCAACGTTCCTGCTAAAGCCATTGGCCACAGAATCTGTGTGATGCTGTACCCCTCAAGGATTTAAACTAACTTAAAAGTAAATGAATAAAGGTGTAGATTTGTTCTCTTGTAAAAAATAAATAAGTAAGAAAAAAAAACAACCAAATGGAAATTCTAGAGTATATTACACTGTATGTTACAGTGTATATTCTACTGTATATTACAGTAATTGAATGAAAGAGTCATTAAATGGTCTCCACATCAGATTTGAGATGGTGGAGAACAGAATAAGATAACTCAAAGACATATCACTAGAAATTGTCCAATCCAAACAGCAGACAAAAAAGGCATTAAAGAAAAACGAACAAAGCATAAGAGATCTGTGGAACAACAACTGGTGTACCAACATATATGTACTAGGAGCACCAGAAGAGGAGGAGACAGAATGAGGAGCAAAGTATCTAAAGACATAATGGCCCCAAACTTCCCACGCATGATGAAAATGTATCTACAGATCCAAAATTCTCAATGCCAAGTAAGATAAACACAAAGAGAACCACAACTAGACCTACAGTCAGATTTCTGAATGACAAAAAGAAAATCTTGAAAGCAACCGCGGAAAAATAGCTCCATACAGGGAAACAATATGATTGATGACTGCTTTTTCATCAGAATAAGGGAGGCTAGAAGGTAGTGGAAAAACATATTCAAAGTGTTGCAATACAATTCAGCTAAGAATTGTATATCCAGGAAAACCTCCCTTTGAAAATGAAGGTGAGATAGGCATTCCCTGATAAACAGGATTGTTGGTAGCAGTCTTGACCTAAAATAAATACTAAAGGAAACCCTTAGGCTGAAAGAAAATGACAGCATACAGTAACACAAATCCACAGAAAAGAATGAAGAGAATTGGAACTGATATGTGGATAGGTATAATAGACTATACACACAAATGCAAATAGTCATCACCTTGGGAATGAGTAAACAAAATGTAGTGTATATCCACATGATGGAAAAGTACTCGGCAGAAGGAGGAACGAAGTACTAATTCGTGCAGGAACATAGATGAACCTCAAAGACAGCATGATGCATGAATGAATCACAAAAGACTACATGTGTTGTATGAATACACTTATATGAAATTTCTAGAAGAGGCAAAAACATAAAGATAGAATGAAGATCAGTGACTGTCTGAGACGGGATGAGAGCAGGCATTGACTGCAACCAGCCATGAAGAAAATATTTTGGGGGTGATGGATATGTTCTAAAACTGGATTTCAATCATGATTATATAATTATAAGTTTACTAAAAGTTCATCAGACTGGGTAATTACAGTGGTTGAAGGTGTGGTATGCCAATTATACCTTAATACAGTGGTAAAAAATGTTAATGGTGCCTGCTTCTGAGTAGTGTGTGTGGAGATAATTTTCATTTTTTTTTTTTTGCTTCTATTGCATTTTCTAGACTGATTCCATAAACATCTATTATGTTTGGAATAAAAGACAACATTAAAAGTAAACTTTTAAGCGATAACAACTACATTTAAAGTACTTTTGAAACAAAAACTCTCTAACACACATAGGCACACACACACATACACACACACACACACACACACACCCCTAACAGGAATCCCAGTAAATAATACTCTCTATCAGAGTTTAATTTAGTTAAATATATAGTCTTTCATTACAGTTGGGAGTTTAATATGGTGACCATTTTGGGTCTTGGGATAAGGCTGTTCAGACGTAGCTTTCTTTTCCTACAGAAAAATCCATGCATTTAATCAAGAGAATAAAATTACATCAGTTGATGCCATCAAATTATATCTCAGACTTTCTGAGGGTCCTTATGAGACCTGGAATGAGAACAGGCATGGACTTGAAGTATGAAAAGCTGGTATTAGATACTTGGAAAGGCTAGCAGCTTGCCTTAATTAGTGTTTCCCCTTTTTTTTTTTTTTTTTTTTTTTTTTGCAGACGCTGTGGAGATATATTTTATAAAAAGTATCAGTGCATATCAAGCAACATTGGGCCCAACGGATTATGAAACACTGACAACCATTGAAGAATTTTGCAAATGGCTTGTCCAAAATGGAGAAAAACAGGTAAATGTGAACAGGCAAATCAACTAGAGGCAGTGTGATCTTGGACAAGATCCTTAGCTTTTACTAGTGTCCATTCCTTCATCTATAATATGAGTATAATAATAGTTCCTCTCTCATAGAGTAGCCATGAAGATTAAATAATTATTTATGAGTTAACTGTTATTATTAAATATAAGCATGAAATCTCAACTCTTCATAGAAACACATTACTTAGGTCACATATCACAACTGACAGATCCTGGTAAGGCATACAATGCCACCTCCATAGAGTTTACGGAATAGAACTGGCATATTACTTCAGAATTGCCAGGATTATTTAAAAACGTTTTTTTTAATTCCCTAGGAAGCTTACAGACTGCTAAAGGCCTCACTGAAGTCTCAGGTCATCAGCTATGGTGATTGTAGTGAAAAAGTGGCTGAAACTTTTTACAACATGGGCAGGATCTGCTTTGCCAAAGGAGACCTCAGAAAGGCGATTCAGCTGCTAAGGAAGGTGCATGCTGGTTGGTTTGTGCATTTTCTCCTGGGCCTGTAAGCACAATGTGAGGAGTGAGGTGTGTGTGTGTGTGTGTGTGTGTGTGTGTGTGTGTGTATGCATGCATATGTTCCCTTCCTATCCCCTCCCCTCCTCTCTGTTTCCCTTCACTTCCTGTCTTTCTTTCCTGCCTCCTTTCTTCTTCCTTCTCTATTTCTTTTTTTTTAAGTGAAGTAAAAATTCACTTTCTAAGATGTGCTGAGGGAGATACAGAAACTTACTGTGCCTGTGCTTGCACCAGAGTCCTAAAAAAATAACACCCCACAGGCACCTGGATGGCTCAATCAATTGGGCGTCTGACTTCAGCGAGGTCATGGTCTCATGGTTCATGAGTTGGAGCCCCACTTCATGCTCTGTGCTGACAGCCCAGAGCTTGGTGCTTGCTTTGGATTCTGTGTCTCCTCTCTCTGCCCTTCCCCAGCTCATGCTGTGTCCCTTTCTGCCTCTCAAAAATAAATAAAAAACATTAAAAATTTTTAAAAATAAAAGAGTAACACGCCAGTGTTGGAATCTAGGTACAGCCGTGGCAGCACCCAAGGTTGGGCAGAGTCAGGAACATCTTATATAAGCCATTCTTACCCAAATACTGATTCCCCTTCCAGGGGGCTCAGACAACACTGGAAGTTCATGTCTTGTAGTAGGATCTGGCAAGAGGTGTGACCAAACAGTTGTTCATTCAGCTAGTCAGTCTACTGACAGACCAAGGCTAAAGACTTGGTAAGAGTGGTCAGGATGTCTCTACATAAAATCTAAGTTTGTTCAATGTTGGAGAAAAAGTTGGTAAAGATCACCCAATACTCATGTAAGCAGAGGGAGGAGTCAAAAGCCATCCATACATATACATTGGCAAATATCAGGTCTGGAGAGATTTTTATCTCATTTCAGGTTAACTAAACATAATCAGAAAATGAGTATGACAATAGTAAATAACAGGAAAAAGGGGTCTTATTTTGAAGATTCTGAGAAAAAGAAAGCCTTCTGAAAATAAGTTACAGTGACCAGAATAGTATCTTCAAGGAAAGCATGAATTTATGGATAGGAGCAGAAAAACCTATAAGGAGAGAAAACTTAAAAATGAAACAGTGAAAGGGTGACAACTTGAGGCCAAAAGATGAGATGAGATTAAAATGTTAGGAGTGAAATAAGAAGGGACAAATATAACATTCATTTCTACATGGAAAATGGTAAAGACTGTCTTAACATGTCATAGTGATGGGGAGCAACATATTTCAAGTCTAAAATTGCAGCATTCAATAAAAATCAAAACAAAAATGAAACAAACTAACAAAAAATGATTCCTGAGCCCCACCTCACACTCTTAAGTCACAAGTTCTAAGAGGTTGGTCTAGAATCTGTATTTTTAATATTTATAGAGCTGCAATATCCTGCCAGTTGAAAGAATCAGAGATTTATAGGACAGACTTGAAAAGCTGTCCTAGAATGCTGACAAAGGGAGAGAGGCGGTATAATGAGAAAGTAGTTGATATAGAGGGCAAAGTAGAGATTCACCTAAAGAATTGTATATATTTCTGAAAAAAGAACTATAATACTTGGAATAGAAACAGTAATCAAAGAAATCATTGAAGACAACTTTTCTGAAATGAAAAAAAAAAACAAAAAAACAGCACACCTGATATAAGGGCCTACCATGTTCTACACAAAATGGAAGAAGGAGAGCCTGATCTAGATTTTACCTGACAGTGGCTGTTTGATGGCACAGCTACATCATCCATTTGGAAAGGGACTCAACTTGGAGATTTAGGATACTGTAAGGTAGGCGGGGCTGCATCTTTGTCATGAGCTTTTATCCTTAGGGCTTTAGTCCCTACTTCAATGTCCCAAGCCAGAAAGGAGGAGAGGGATAGAAGGGCATGCTGGCAGTTAGGCTGTTGTTTTGAGGCTTGAACACCTTCCTCATGCTGAGTGTCCACCATCAATGGGATGCTGGTGATGAAGCTTCTGACTTAGACTATGTTAATAGATGCTGTTCTGGGGATTGGAAACTGCTCCTGGAGCTAAAAAGAAGGTAAGAAACCTCAGCAAAAGTTGATGCTGAGAGGAGACCCCTTTGGCAGACAGAATAGAGCACAAAGGGGGCCATACATACAGAATCCTGGTGACACTTTTGGCTAATGTTTTTTCTTGGGCAGTTCAGTTTTCATGTAAAAGGAATCAAAGTTAAATGCAGTAGGGTGGGGGTGAGAAGGTAAAGAAAAGACAAACATTAAACATTACAATCTGGTGATAGAATACTTTTTATTCACATACAGTAAGCGGCACACGTTTTACAGTGTACAATTTGATCAGCTTGGACATCTCTATTGACCTGTGGAACCATTATTACAATCAAGATCATGAGTGTATCAGTCACCCCCAAAAGTTTCCCCATTCCCCTTTGTAAATAATCAGCTTCACCCCTCTCCCACTCCCACCCCCAGGCAAAAACTGATTTGCTTTGTCACCATAGATACATTAGCATTTTCTAAAATTTATATAAGTAAAATCCCATAGTTACACAGTCTTGAATCATTCAGCATAATTATTTTGAGAATTGTCCATATTATTGTGTGTATCCATGGTTTACTCTTATTGCTGAGTATTGCATTGTATGGATGCCATGATATTTTTATCCATTCATCTGATGATGAACATTTGGCTGTTTACAGTTGGGTTTGTTATAGTAAAACTGCCCTGAATGTTCGTGCACAAGTCTCTGTATGGATATGTACTTTTTTCTCTTGGGTGAATACTTAGGAGTGAAATGGTTAAGTAATATGATAGGTGCATGTTTATCTTTATAAGAAACTGTCAAAATTTTGGAAAATGGTTACATTATATTACATATTCCCACCGGAAGGGTATGAGAATTCAGTTCCTCCATTCTTGCCAGTAGTTGGTGTGGTCAGTGTTTTTAATAGGTATATAATGGTATCTCATTGTGTTTTTTTTTTAATTTTTTTATTTTTAAAAAATTAATGTTTATTTTTGAGAGAGAGAGACACACACACAGACAGAGTGTGAGCAGGAGAAGGGCAGAGAGAGAGGAAGACACAGAATCCGAAGCAGACTCCAGGCTCTGAGCTGTCAGCATAGAGCCTGACGTGGGGCTCAAACTCACCAAGAGTTTGATCTCAGCGAGAGTGAGATCATGTCCTGAGCCAAAGTCCGACGCCCAACCAACTGAGCCACCCAGGTGCCTCTCATTGTGGTTTTAATTTGTGTTTGTCTTGAGCATCTTTCCGTGTACTTAATTTCTCATCTGTCTATCTTCTTGGGTGAAGTGACAATCCAAATCTTTTGCTTACTTTTCGTTAGTTGTTTGCTTTCTTATGATTAACTTAATTTTACAAGTTCTTTATATATTCTAACCACACTGTATATGATGCCTGTAGACTTGTATATGACTCCTTTAATATTGTAAAGTTGCCTCTGGTGGGAATGCAAACTGGTGCAGCCATTCTGGAAAACGGTATGGAGATCCATCAAAAAATTAAAAATAGAACTACCCTACGACACAGCAATTGCACTACTAGGTATTTATCCAACGGATACAGGTATGCTGTTTCAAAGGGCACATGCACCCCAATGTTGATAACAGCACTATTGACAATAGCCAAAGTATGGAAAGAGCCCAAATGTCCATTGATGGATGAATGAATAAAGAAAATACACACACATACATACATACATACATACAATGGAGTATTAGTTGTCAATCAAAAAGAATGAAATCTTGCCATTTGCAACTATGTGGATGGAACTAGAGGGTATTATACTAAGTTAGTCAGAGAAACACAAATATTATATGACCTCACTCATATGAGGACTTTAAGATACCAAACAGATGAACATAAGGGAAGGGAAGCAAAAATAATATACAAACAGAGAGGAGAATGAAACATAAGAGACTCTTAAATATGGAGAACAAACTGAGGGTTACAGGAGGGATTGTGGGAGGGGGATGGGCTAAATGGGTAAGGGGCACTAAGGAATCTACTCCTGAAATCATTGTTGCACTATATGCTAACTAACTTGGATGT